TTTACACCGAAAAGTCTCTAATATTACTCTAAAGATACACACACAGTTATTAAAAACATTTTATCTTTAAAGGATTAAATTTTATTTTAAATTTTGTGTACCTATTCCCTTTTTGAATAATATTTTCTGGTAATATAACATTATCATCTGCATCATTTAATTCACCATTGACAACTTTAAGTAAAAAATCTACAAATTTCGTTTCTTGTTTCTTCTTGCTCTCATATTATCTGTTAATGTGTATTTTTTGAAATATTTCTATAGTGTACTATTTTTTATTGATAAATTTACTATTTCTGATTTAGTACCCAGTTCTTTAATTGGTAAAATTTGTCGAAAATCTCCGCCTAGAATTACAATTTTACCACCAAAAGGTTCGTTGGAATAGATAATCCATAATTTCTAAAGCATATTTTGGAGCCATTGGTGCTTCATCCCAAAGAAAAACATCTATATTTTTTAAAAAGAGACCTTCTAAAGACTGAACTTTAATGTTTGAAGATGAACCACTGTATAATGGAACGGGTAAGTCTAAAACTTTATGAACAGTTTTTCCATTAGGAAGCAGAGTCGCAGCTATACCTGTAAATACCATGTTGCAAACATTTATTCCTTTACTTCTTAACAATTGCCATAGAACCATCAAAAGAAGAATCCTTTAGGGCATCAAGTACATAATCAACTTCAAGTTTTTGTTTTACATTTAATTTAGCATAATTCTGTTCTCCTATGTTAATATGTTCTGCAATATTTATTTCATTAACTTGTTCAGTAAAAATTGCATCTTGTATATCTAATAACCCCTGAAAGTCAGTTAAATTATATCCTTCGTTAAATAACATTGTTTTAATATTTCTACAAGCCCTTTGTTCAGCTTCAATGTCGTTTATTTTTTAATAATCTTCTGACATTTGACCCTTAAATTTTTCCCATATATAGTTTATCCGGATGTACAGGATGCCATTGAATTAAAATTCTTGTGAATAATTGGCGAAGTGAATGAGGCATCATCCATAATGCAGCTTCTTCGATTGTCCTAATCCACTCACTATCATCTTCTACAAGTCCTAATGCCAAACAAGCAGTTGTAAAAGATTCATGAACAACTCCATTAACTGTTCTTAAACTTTCAAAAGAAGTTGCTCCTTTTACTGTAAGCAACAATAATTTAAGATGAAATAACTCCAATTGATGTGGATTAACTAAATACATTCTTCCGTATACTTTTACTTTACAAATTCTTTGTTTCCATTCAAGAGTTTTTATTACCCATGTGTAATGCTCTGGCATTTCTGAATAATAATACTTTTGAGCATTTTATGTAAAATAGGATTGATATTTTCATCAAGAATTTCTACAGAAATATAACGATCAACACTTTCAACTGTTAATATTTTAGAATTTTCTTTTAATATAACTAACAAATGAATGTGTGGCAATCCTCGCTTTTAAAATTTAATAACATAAACATAAGATTTGACTTCTCCAAATAATTTATTATCAACAATAAGTTTAAGTAGATGTTTTACTTTTAATGCGAAAACCTTCAGTTACTATATCAGGTCTACCAGCAGCAGTTTGATAGGGGAATAAATTTTCCTGTATCTCTTTCCAATTTGGATTACACGTCATTGTGATAAATAAATCTGGTCTACCATGACGAGCAACAATAGCCATCGAATCCTGATATTGTTGCATCATATTGCGAGGTGATCCTACAAAAGTAGAAGGCAATATAAGCGTTTTTCACATGTGTACATCATTTTCCAACACATGATTGTGTAAATAATCCATCAGTCCTTTATATCTTTCACATCTCACTTGAGCGTGATTATTTGCACAAAATCTTAATCTATCTTATTCTATTTTCACATCATTTTCAACCACCCATTGTTGAAATAATCTACCTCCATATAAAAATTGATTAAATTCTTTATCTCTTACAGCAATTTTGTATTTAATGAAGGCAGACCTAGAAATAGTATGATTTCTAATTATGTAATCACTATCACTACGAATCATATTAATATTATAACCCTTATTTCCAAGTGGATACAATATGGGATAAATCCATGGTTTGACATTCGGATCTAAACTACTAACCAATTTTAGTTCCTTTGTAGATTTATTATAAACCGTTTCATAAGATTCTGCTATTTCTCCTTCATTGTATTAAAAATTGCAGCAACTTCATTAAAACTTTGAGAATTGTATCTATTTTTATCAAAGCTTTTTTTCAACGTGAACAATAATTGTAACTCAGGAATTTCTTCATTATTTGTCTTGCTAATTTAGCTTCTATTTGAATTACCTCTGACATCATCAAGTGAGATTTTGTGTATGCATTAGAATTTCTCATAATATTTTCAATAGATTTTAAACGGTTTTCATCCATATGTTCGTTACTTTTTAATCTGTATCTAATTGATTCCTCAGGGTCATAAATAAATAATTGATCAAAACACGGATCCTCACCTTTATCCTGATATAAAGCACTATTAATTTGATACTAATTTTGACCTTGAATTTTGTAACAGAATGGTCCTCTTCTTCTGCCATTAAAATTAATTACATTAGCATTTAAAGATGCCAAAAAAAATTATTATACAGCCTTATATTCTTTTTAAAATGACCTGATTTTTTATGAAACCCTTCTAACAAAAGCCTTAATTCATCTGGATATTGTATTAAAGTTAACACAACACCTCTATGACTACAGCAGTCATTAAAACTAACTTTTTTACCAGTAACTTTTTCATCTTTAAATTTTTAGCTTGACAATGTGTGCAGTAATTATTTATCGGACCTAGATAATTTTCAACATTCAACTCATTTTGAATTCGATGCTTTAATATTCCTTCAAAATAATTTCTTTGACATCGAGTATTCTTTGTTTTTGACAAAGAACTTGTATTACTATTTTTATTTTTTAATTTAAGGTTCTCAGCATATTCTATTTTGGATTCGACTTGAAGTTTTTTCTTAGTTGAAGTGTGTTTTTCACTTAATAATTTACGTTATCAATTGCACGTTTTAATTTTTGCCTCTCACGATAATTTTTTTGAATTTTAGCACTACTTTCTTTAAGTGTTTTTGATGCAATATTTCCTTCTTTATTTCATTTATAATACTCGGGAAAAAAATGGTTGTGTATGCTTCCTCTGAATAATTTTCATTATTAATTTTACGTTTTAATTTTTGCCTCTCACGATAACTTTTTTGAATTTCAGCCCTACTTTGTTTAAGTCTTGTTGATGCAATATTTCCTTCATTTATTTCATTTATTATTCTCGAGAAAGAAATTTCTTTCTTAATATGTAGAGTTTTTAGAAAAGTTTGATTCTCCATACTGAAGTTGAATATCTTTTTCATTTAAAAGGCAATTTTAGTCATACACAACTATGGAAGATCTTCTATTAGAAAGTTGTACAGAGGGAAATTTTCATAAACTATTGTTTTCGAACATTAACATTAAATGATTTCTAATATTACAATAATAGTAATTGATAGAGTGGGGCTGAATAATAAAAAAAACGATGTTGCAGATGTTTTTGCATATACTCCATTAGAAAGACTGTATTCTGGTTGTTGATCAACAGTTGTGAAAACTACTGGTGGTTTAAAAGGATATAATCTAATTAAATAATCTCTTTGATCATAATTTAAACATTTTTTATTAAGACTATTAAAAATGTAAAGGCTTATTCCATAATAATAAGTACAAATCCAATGACCAAATTTATAAGATCCACTAAAAAGTATTTGAATGTGCTGCTTACTTTTCTCGATTGGAACTATCAAATCAAATGTTTGTAAACACAAAGTATTTTGCATATTATAAAAAATTTTGATTGTCTTCTTAATAGCTTTTGAAATTCATACATATGATCATTATTTAGCATTTCTCCTTCAGTGACAACAATACTTAAATCATGAGTAGTCAAATTAACAGTTTCTCCTTTATAATCAATAATCAATGAATTTATCACTTGGTTAAAATTTAATACGAAACAAGATGTAAAAATATCAATCCTCCAAGTCAAATTATAGTGTTATTTTAAATAAATAAAACACAAAAAATTCATTTAACGTTTCGACGGTCCCACTGTCCTCATCAGAAACTATAAAAAATGTTTATTGTTAATAAGACAAATTAAAAATTACAAAGAAAATAAACAAATTTTTTTTGAATTTTGCACTAAAACTAAAATACCTAACATTTACCATTAGAAATTTCGATTCCCCTTGTAATCAACACAAGAACGTTCGATTGACTTAAGGAATTACAAACAATTAATCGATGAATATAAATAAATACACACACATATACACATACACAAATATATATACGTGTTTGTACATTGCAATATAATAAAATCAAAGGTCAGTGAACTTACATGAAAACAATAAAATCAATTAATAAGAATATACATACAAACACACTCTAATGCACTAATATAAATATAAACGCAAATAAAGAGATTTATTTTCGAAATATAAAAGGAAATAAAGTTTTGAAAGTTAATTTTGTGACATTTTGAATTTTTTGAAAAAATTTTTGTAATATTGGTTAAGATTGTTTGTGTCATCTTTTCTATTTAAAGTTTGTTTCTGTATGTGAATATGAATCATTTTGGTTTTTGTAATATTGGTTAAGATTGTTTGTGTCATCTTTTCTATTTAAAGTTTGTTTCTGTATGTGAATATGAATCATTTTGGAAATCAATCTCTTCTGCCACACAGGTTCATTATCAAAAATAGAAAAATTTTCATAATCAAAATCGTGCTTAAAATCACGCTTATGTTGAAATATCACATTGGTTTTTGATTTCATGTGTACATTCATTCTCTTTTTAACAAATTCTTTTTGATTCACCAATGTAACAGGCAAAACAATTATTGCCACAAAGTTTATATACACAGTTTGTTTTGTCATATTTTTTGGTTGAGTCTTTGCCTTTTTTGATATGTTGATTGTTATTAATGTTACATGGAATAGTTATTATAATATTTTGACGTAATAAAGACGAAGTCATTTCAAAAAAAATGTTGGCATACGGCAAGCAAATTTTACTCACACGACAGTAAAAGAAATCATTATTTTGTTTAACTTGGTTTAAATTTATAAAATGCATACGTTTTTTAATATAAAGGTTAATAAAATTTATCGGATATCGATTCTGTAAAAGTAATTCTTTAATAATTTTTATATTTTTTTGGTGAAAATTTTGATTTGAAAGTTTTATGGACATGTCAATATACCACTTGATGATTTATTACACGCAGTGTCTTTTCTTTTTAATAATACTTTTTTTCAATTCAATAATAAATATTATAAACAAATTTATGGGACACCTATGGGCTCACCTGTTTCAGGCCTTTTTGCGGATTTAGTAATGAATGATTTAGAAATGAATTGTTTGGGTGCATTGTCGTTTAAACCGGTGTTCTATTATCGTTATGTTGATGATACTATTATGTGCATTCCGAGTGACAAAATTTCCGAAACTTTGCCGATTATCAACTCTTATGACGAAAGGTTACAATTCATATATGAAATTGAAAACAATAATTCCATTAGTTTTCTTGATGTATTACTTATTAGGCAAAACAATATTTTGATTACTGATTGGTTTATGAAACCTACTTATTCTCGCACATTTTTAAACTTTTTTTCTAAACATCCAATGTCACAAAAAATTGTCATTGTTTATAATTTAACTGACAGAGCCATAAAACTTTCAAATCAAAATTTTCACCAAAAAAATATAAAAATTATTAAAGAATTACTTTTACAGAATGGATATCCGATAAATTTTATTAACCTTTATATTAAAAAACGTATGCATTTTATAAGTTTAAACCAAGTTAAACAAAATAATGATTTCTTTTACTGTCGTGTGTGTAAAATTTGCTTGCCGTATGTCAACGACTTTTTTGAAATAACTTCGTCTTTATTACGTCAAAATAATATAATAACTATTCCATGTAACATTAATAACAATCAACATATCAAAAAAGGCAAAGACTCAACCAAAAAATATGACTAATCAAACTGTGTATATAAACTTTGTTGCAATAATTGTCCTGCGTGTTACATTGGTGAATCAAAAAGAATGGTTAAAAAGAGAATGAATGAACACATGAAATCAAAAACCAATGTGATATTTCAACATAAGCGTGATTTTAAGCACGATTTTGATTATGAAAATTTTTCTATTCTTGATAATGAACCTGTGTGGCAGAAGAGATTGATTTCCGAAATGATTCATATTCACTTACAGAAACAAATTTTAAATAGAAAAGATGACACAAATAATCTTAACCAATATTACAAAAACTTTTTCAAAAAATTCAAAATGTCACAAAATTAACTTTTAAAACTTTATTTCCTTTTATATTTCGAAAATAAATCTCTTCATTTGCGTTTATATTTGTATTAGTGCATTAGAGTGTGTTTGTATGTATATTCTTATTAATTGATTCTATTGTTTTCATGTAAGTTCACTGACCTTTGATTTTATTATATTGCAATGTACAAACACGTATATATATTTGTGTATGTGTATATGTGTGTGTATTTATTTATATTCATCAATTAATTGTTTGTAATTCCTTCAGTCAATCGAACGTTCTTGTGTTCATCACACGGAAAATCGAAATTTCTAATGGTAAATGTTATATTAGTTTTAGTGGAAAATTCAAAAAAAATTTTGTTTATTTTATTTTGTAATTTTTAATTTGTCTTATTAACAATAAACATTTTTTATAGTTTCTGATGAGGACGGTGGGACCGTCGAAACGTTAAATGAATTTTTTGTGTTTTATTTATTTAAAATAACACTATAATTTGACTTGGAGGATTGATATTTTTACATCTTGTTTAGTTTCTCCTTTGTTAGACATTGCTTTTTTATTTTATAAAATTTACTTATATCAAGGAATTATAATTTTAAAAATAGTAATATTACATTAGAATTTTAACATCAAGTTTTATACATTTAGTTATAAATTTAATAATTTTCTTTTATCGAATGTTACCAATTCTTGCCTCTTATAGAAAATAACAACAAATTTACAATTTTCTCCTTATTCAAAACATTCAAATTTTTCCTTCTATCAAATATAATCAATATCCAAATTTGTCATACATTAAATTTAACTAATTTCCAATTTTGTCTCTTATCCAATATTTAACCAATTTACAATTTTTCCTTTTCTCCAATTTAACCAACTTCCAGCTTTGTTTTTATCCAAAATAAATAATTTGCAATTTTTGCTTTTATCCAATTTAACCAATTTCCAGCTTTGTTTATATTCAATATAACCGACTTCGCATTTTGCCTTTTATCCAATTTAACCAATTTCCAATTTTTCATTTTATCCAATTTAACCAATTTCTAGCTTTGTTTTTATCTAATAGAACCAATTTCCAATTTTGCTTTTTATCCAATATAACCAACTTCTAATTTTGCCTTTTATCCAATATAACCAATTTCTAATTTTGCATTTATCCAATTAGACTGATTTCCAGCTTTTTTATCCAATTTAAACAATTTCCAGCTTTGTTTTTTCAAATTTAAACAATTTCCAGCTTTGTTTTTATCCAATATAATCAATTTACAATTTTTCCTTTCATCCAATTTAACCAATTTCCAGCTTTGTTTTTATCAAATAGAACCAATTTCCAATTTTGCCTTTTATCCAATATAACCAATTTCCAATTTTTTCTTTTAGCCAATTTAACCAATTTCCAGCTTTGTTTTTATTCAATATAACCAATTTCAATTTTTTTCCTGTTATCCAATAGAACCAATTTAGCCTTTTATCCAATTTAACCAACTTCCAGCTTTGTTTTTATCCAATATAAATAATTTACCATTTTTCCTTTTATCCAATTTAACCAATTTCCAGCTTTGTTTTTATCCAATATAACCAATTTCCAATTTTTCCAATAATTTTTCCTATTTGTTTTTATTTGATACAACCAATTTCCAAGTTAACCAATTTTTAATGTTGCCTTTTATCTAATATAACCAATTTCCAATTTTGCCTTTTATTCAATTTAACCAATTTCCAGCTTTTTATCCATTGTAACCAATTTTCAATTTTTCATTTTATCCAATTTAACCAATTTTTTTCAGCTTTGTTTTTATCCAATATAACCCTTTTTGCAATTTTTCCAATAATTTTTCCGATTGGTTTTTATCCAATAGAACCAATTTCCAAGTTAACTAATTTCTAATTTTGCCTTTTATTTAATATAATTAATTTCCAATTTTGCCTTTTATCAATTTAACCAATTTCCAGCTTTTTTATCCAATATAACCAATTTTCAATTTTGCCTTTTATCTAATTTAACAAATTTCTAGCTTTGTTTTTATCCAATATAATCAATTTCCAATTTTTCCTTTCATCCAATTTAAACAATTTTCAGCTTTGCTTTTATCCAATAGAACTAACTTACAATTTTTCCTTTTATCCAATATAACCAATTTCTAATTTTGCCTTTTATTCAATTACAGACGATTTCCAAATTATAACAAAATTTTAAATTTATTAATAAACATCAAAAAAATTAAAACAAATTTTTTAATTTTATTAATAATTAACATCAAAAACAAAACACAACTCAATTAATTATTTAATGATTGAAAAAATTTAGAAAACAGTATCTTAGTGTAGTTTTATTATTTACTTTTCACTTATTATCACTAATTATATTCACTAATACTTACTATTCACTTAATCACTATTTACTAATTTACGAAGTATTCACTAATAATTCACTTATTTAACTTTATATTCACTCACATATAGTGAGTGAATTCACGAGTGAATTATAAAGATTTTTTAATTTAATTTTCGTTGAAGACACGTAGAACTTGTCCCAAGGAAAATAATCTACGATATGATTTTTAATTAAAAAAAATATTCGTTCTTATAATTATTTAGGTGGTAGGCCGTAAGCGTGACTGTCCTTTTCGCACTCGCAGATTGATTCTGAGGCCAATATATATATATTACACCTGTATTAGACCCTACGAAGGATTACCACAAGCAATACGAACCCTTGAACAATAACCTTCGTAAATGAGGGACACAGGTAATAATATTTTCTTTCTTCCTTCATCGCAAGGAAAACTATAGATAAAAGTAAATATATATGTATATATATATATATATATATATATATATTTACTTTCATAATTGAAACACAAAAGGTAACGCCTGGGTAACGGCGCCAGTAACGCCGGCTCTGGTTTCTCTCTTTCTAAAGGCAATATAAATAAGAATGTCTCTCTTTACCTAATTTGCATATCTACTCGTTTCATATTAAGGATCAAATGGTTTGTTTGTTCATTTTGTTTGTAGCTCATTGTTTCACATTTTAATTCAAATTCCGGCCGGCCACCTAAGGAATTCCAACTTTTCCAAAATAAGAACCACCCTAATAATTATGTATATTTAAGACTTTTAGACTCGATTTCTAATTTCAAAGACTCAGGCCAATATTCGAGGTAATAATGTTTCACTACTTTCACGAAAGCATAATATTAATGAGAACAAAAGTGGGTCAAAGTAAAATTAAAAAACTAATACAATTAAACATTTAATTTTTTGAAAACAGAAGTTTTATTCCCAGAAAACAATGCATAAAGTCAACATAAGGAAACTTGCAAGAAAAAATAAAGAAATTATCTGCACTCTCCATATCTCCAACCTGATTCTTTGTGACAATATCCAGAGTCACAGTTGCCCAAACTTCCGTCAGGTTGACACCGACCATTTTTAGGTATTGCCATAACGTTGGGTGCTATTAGCATAATAATGCTCGCAATCAACATCACCATAAGTCCGCAAAATTTAAAACTGGTCATTTTTATTTTTAATTCTAGAAAATTATTCTGAAATCAAATAATGAATATTTTTAATAAATTTTGAATATATAATAGGACAAAAATAATTGAAAATCCAATCCGATTAATCAAAACTAAAATTAGTATAAAAATCTCTCATTAAATATAAAGCCATTATTTTCAAAATTGAAAATGGCGGATAAAAATGCAAATTAATTTATAAAAATGTACTTAATTTCTTTTTAACCTTGTTACACGGAAGATTTTTGGAGTTACTGAATAAGAATCAATTGTCAAATTATTGTCAAAATTTTAAATAATGAATTCAATAGGGCTGTATAAAATTCTTTTGATCCACCGTATTAAAGAAAATGTTAAGAAAATTTTTTACCATTTTACCAGTATCATAAATCAGTTATATAAGTCATTAAATAGTATGTCATCAAATAAATAATATTAAGTAAATACAAAGTGTCAATTACTGCGCAGTTCTAGTAAAGTTGATTTTAAATAGAAAATACGATATTTATGTTGAAGAAAGTCCTATATCTCATTTAACTAATAGTTCTTGATATTTATATATTTATAAAAAAATTAAAACCTTTTCATGCGGACGTATACATATATTAAATTTAGAGGAATGAGCTAAAATGAAAATAGCTTTTTTAAGGGGTAACACCATTATAGAGGCAGAAATAAAGACTAAGTTTTGATAATTTGTTTTGGGAAAATGAAAAAAGGAAAAAAAAATTGTATTTAAAATTTTATAACAAAATGGCGGCGATAAATTTCATAGTCAAAATCGACTATTTTTTTACCAGAACGACCAGAAAAGTTTTTTGAAAAATTTAAGTCCTGGAACAGAAAACAAAAAATCTATATATGGGGCATTCCACGCCAAGTCGGAAATCATTTTGCTTTTACATCTCACATTTTTTTTCTTTTAGTAGGGGAGAGTCGGGCAACCCGGCCATACCTACGGTTTTTTGACTCTTGTGACTAAACGAATCAACCGATTTCATTTTTCGATGGCTTGTTTGAAAGATCATTTAATTGCGCAACTTTTTCCCAGAGGCACCTATACTTTATCTTTTATTGTTTAGTTGCTGTGTTAACTTTAAAAAAATTTGAAAACGGGCCGGTTTGCCCCACCCCCTGGGGTAAACTGGCCACCCCATGGGACAAACCGGTCAGTTGGGTTTTTTATCTACAATATTGCATTTGTATAATCTACAATAACAACAAACATAAAGAATTATGTGAACAATGGTTGTAATAATGTAAATAATAATACAGGATTGAATTTTAATTAAATAAATAATTTTGTTTGAAATTATCAGAGAAACAATATTAAAGCGTCTAATTCTCATTGGAAGATAATTATTTTTCATTAAAAGTAAATATTTTAATGAAAAAAACATTCTAATTAATAATAATTTTTTTAAAACTCTGATACAATGAAAATATCCTATGGCCGGTTTGCCCCACAGGCTCATTTTGAGAATAAATATTTGTTTAAAAGAAACGCTTTGCAAATTCATCAAAGTTTTTGGTGGTAAATATTCCTGAGGTGTGTACCTTCAAAACCCAAGACCTAATATTTGGAAATATTACACGATTTCCTCAGAATTTCCTTAAGAAAAAATTCGTAAAAGTGTAGAAAAAAACTAAAAAAAAAACTTTTGCTCCCAGCGTTGCACAAACAAAAGTAAAAATTTAAGGAAGTGAATTTATCATTCGGTGATTAAATATTAAATTTGAAGACGTTAACAATTTTCCCGAATCAATCTACACAAATAAATTAAATATCTTAAATAAATCTCGATAAGCTCATGGGCTTCAATGTATCGACAGCACAGCTGCCCTAATACAGAAACCTGCTTAATTTGAAAAATATTTTCGAAATTAATTAATAATTTCAAAATTATCAAAGAACTCAGAAAAAAAGTGCTCAGTGGTCAGAGCAGTCTACCGGCAATAGAAAGGTCGTGGGCTCGTATCCCACCATGCTACCGTTTTTCTCTGAGTTCTTTGATAATTTTGAAATTATTAATTAATTTCGAAAATATTTTTCAAATTAAGCAGGTTTCTGTATTAGGGCAGCTGTGCTGTCGATACATTGAAGCCCATGAGCTTATCGAGATTTATTTAAGATATTTAATTTATTTGTGTAGATTGATGCGGGAAAATTGTTAACTTCTTCAAATTTAAAAGTAAAAATTGTTAAATTGAAAAAATAAGGTATACTACACATGGTTGTTTCAAATTTCTAAATAGCACTTTTGACAATTTCGCCATTTCGGAGATATTGACCCCTGGCCGGTTTACCCACTGGGTCAGTTTGACCCACTCTCCCCTACTCCTTAAAATGAGCTACCTTGATTTTTTTTCAATTTTTTTTATAAAGCGGTTCAGGAGATACAGATTTTTGAAAGATGACGTTTTTCACTTAAATTTTTTTTAAATGCTTATAACTCGGTCAAAAATTGATCAAATTGGACGTTTTTATAATGAAAATTTTTGTTTTTACACGTAGTTTTTAATAAGAATATTAAAAAAAAAATTTTAATAATAATTTACGATAAGATTTAAAAATTTTTTAAATAAAATTTTATTTTTAACAATGTATGTATCGATCAATTTTTATTAAAATTTTTTGTAAGAAACTAGCACTAAATTAACAATTTTTAAGCCTTGTCCGATCGTGGGCAAACGATGGGATCTATGTATTTTGAAATTTTTAATTTTTATATACGCAGTGGTGGCCAAATGCCTATCTTGACATTTGACAAAATCACATAAATTTTTCACAGCAAATATGTTTTCAGACTGAGTCTCTTCAAACTTAACCTTCCTTCTGTGCAAAATTGTGATTTGGTCAAATGGCAGGTTAGGCCTATCGTTTTCTTTGTGTATATAAAAATTTCAAAATAAATATATCCCATCGTTTGCCTACAATCAGACAAGGCTTAAAAATTGTTAATTTAATGCTAATTTCTTACAAAAAATTTTGAAAAAATCGATACATACATTGTTAAAAATGAAATTTTATTTAAAAAATTTTTAAATCCTATTGTAAATTACTTAAATTTTTTTTAAATATTGTTATTAAAAAGTACGTGTGAAAACAAAACTTTTCGTTATAAAAACGTCCAATTTGATCAATTTTTGAACTACTTATAAGCATTTAAAAAAAATTTACGTAAAAAACGTCATTTTTAAAAAATCTGTATCTTCTGAACCGTTTTATGAAAAAATTTGAAAAAACCAAGGTAGCTCATTTCAAAAAGTTGATATGCAAAAGCAAAATGATTTCCGACTTGGCGTGGAATGCCCCATAGATAAATTTATAAAATTTCTTTGTTTTTTGTTCCAGGACTTAAACTGTACAAAAAACCTTTCGGGAAGTAAAAAAATAGTCGATTTTGAATATAAAATTTACCGCCGACATTTTGATATATAATTTTAAAAAAAAATTTTTCAACACTTCAATATTTATTTAATAAACCCTCCAAAAAGTAATCCTATTCCATTTTTCATTTTCTCAAAACAAATCATCAAAGATAGGTATTAGGTCTCTTTTTCTGCCTCTAGAGTGGTGTTACCCCTTAAGGTGTAAATATTTATAGTACCTAATACAAAATAATAAATAATGTAATAACGAGATAATATATTAATAAAAAATGCTAGATCTTGTTACTTACGAGAGTTGTTGAAAGAATAGTTCTATAGAGAAATGAAATTAAAATGAATAAATTTAGCGAAATATTACGTGCTTTTATACTTTGAGGATAATGTAAACATTCATTTGTCTTAAGGAAAAACAATTAATTTAAAAATAATTATCAATGATTTTTTCTTTTCATACAATTTGCATCAATAAATTACAAATGAGGAAAACTAATTGAAAAAAATTTATTTTCGCTACTGATTAAGGAAATAATATTTTCAATTAGAGATTAATAATAATGTTTATTTTCAGAAAAAAGATATGAAAATGAAAAGTAATTTTATAAAAAATGCTACTGTCTACATAAACATATTATACAACTAATATAATTAAAGTGAGTGTTTATGAAATTCCAATTAAACTGTTCTATAAAATGTTTATTATCATTTTACGAGTCGTAATAATGTTTGATGAATAATAAAAATATGAGGAAAATTTTGAAAAGATAATTTTGTAAAATCTTTATGTAAAAATTTAGATTTAAATGTTAGAAAAATAAAAAAAAGATTAAATATTAACCGTAATGTTTTCTTAATGGCACTTGCATTTTGTGTGTTTAAAATTTTTTTTTCTTGACAATTTCTAAAAAAAATATACATTATGTATATAGTTTTATTTTTTCATTTTATAACTTAAAATATATGGAAATAATTTTATATTAAGGGGGTAGTCTGGTGTTTGAACCTGTTTTGAAAGTTCATTTCAGGATTTTTCTTTTTTATTATAAAATAAAATGTAATCACATCAAATCTTTTTACATCTTTTTATTGTTATTATAAATTGTTAAAAAAATTATTTCACTATTTTAAACTTGATATTGTTATACATATTTACAGTTAATGTTTAAAACAAAAAAAAACGAAGTGGTGTAGGTCAATTAAAAAAATCTATTTTACCGATTGCTAATTTTCTTTTTTCATTTTACTCTATATAACCATGGCTATGGCCCGAACTAGAATCATTCAATTTCAATCATATATTTTTTTATTTTTAATTTTTTGTCAATAAAAAACAGTCAATTTTTAATTTTTTGTTTAAAAGTCCGCCATTTTGTCATTAATTAACAAAACTGGTTCATTCTAGTTCGGGCCATAATAAAGTATTAAAATTTCAGCCGAAAACTTACTTTTAGCAATTTTTTTGCACACATATTAAAGACATCTCATAAACTTTTCTCAGGTGGTCAACTAAATTTGCATCAAATAGTGAATCATAAATGTAATAAATTCACGCTTTTTAAAATTTTTAAAAGGTCATAGATTTCGAGAAATCGGCTTTGTTACAACTCACCTCTGTCTCCTCTACACGGAAAAAATTAATTTAGTACATTTTACGAAACTAATTTTGGAATAGCGGATACGGAGAGGAGTTTAGTATAAGATAAAACAGAATCAATAGTAATATATGATGACTGCGTTTCTCGAAAACTCAAAAAAAATTCTATGGAATTCACAAATGATCGGTTGGACGTTCTAATTCAAGAGTTTTGTAAAATGTTTAGCCAGAAGCGCATGCGCCACGGAAAAAAATTTTCACGGAGAAAAAAACGAATAAAGCAGAAAAAAGAATTTCTTAATGTACCAATGAGCTCTCAAGACCATTTTTTCTCGTCTTCTATAGGAGATAGATGATTGGTTCGACACATGTGACTGCCCTCTACAACGCAATGGTTCGCTTGGATTGGCTTATTTTATTCTGACACTAACTTAACGGAAATACGCATACATATAAACGAATTCTGACGCAACGCACATACAATATAACTCGCACTTGTAGATGAAAGAATTGAGTTTCTTTATATACTAACTGAGGAGATTAAAACTGCGCTTGTGAGAAATGTCAATATACTGAATATTAATTTTTTAAAAAAATCATTTTTTTAAAAGTTATACAAAATATTTTATAGTTTTTAAAATAACATTTTTTAATTATAATTGGTTATAAAATCTCTATAAAATTTTTCAATTTTTAAAAAATAATTTTATTCTTAATTTTAAATTATAAATAAATTGCAAAAAAATTTTCAAAATTAAATTCAAACTCAAAAAATTTTAATATTAAATTGTCTAAAATTTGAAGTAATAACAGTTAAAACTAATAAAAATTAGAATTAATTAAAATTTTGAGAAATTAATATATATGTACATTTATTGTCATCGGTAAATATTATGATAAACTATAAAATTTATTGGAATGTAAATTAAAAGAAATTAATAATAATTAAAAGTTTGGATTACAAAATCACATAAAAAATGTTACGAATTTGGAACAATGAAATGTGAAATACGTAAAAGAAAACAATTATCTAAATGTTACCGGCAGGTAAAGCAGTTCTCTTTTTCCTTCCACATATTATCTCTATATACAGCAGACAAGTTAATACCGACGCGACGAGACAAGCTTCAACATATCTATTTATAACGCGACTTTTGGTACACCCCGTATAGAATTTTACGAAACTCTGTGTTCGAGAATTCACGATAGACAGCGAAGTGAAAACTCAAACCACGCATTTTTAGATTGCACGAAACATTTTTACTATTTTCTGATAAAATGTTCACCAGAAAATACGAAACATTTCTACATTCAAGCTTGTTTTATAAATTACAACACTGGTTGCAGTTTCTCGAAAATTGTTCTGCTTAAAGTAGTGAAAGTTTCTGGGTTTTTGAAAAACTTCGTCAAGGAATCTTAAATATCCGCTAGTGAGAAATTAGTTTCGTAAAATCTGCTGAACTTATTTTTTCCGTGTACTGTGTAATTATTATTATTAACTACGTCACACTATTTTGCATAATTTTTCCTTGCACTCCCCCCCTCCTCACACAAAAAATTAATTCCACCCCCCCTATGACGTAGTTTATGAATGGCCCTGTACAGGGTCTGTGTGACCCTGTCTTTTAGTTTAAACTTTAATTTTTTTTAAAATTGTAACAATTAAAGGTCTTGTGACCTAAAAGTAATAATGATCCAGTCAGTTGTTGCCTAGATCTCATCAAAAAATAAAACTCATCTCCATCAACTTGCAAAAAATGCGATTTTTACAAACTAGGGGAGACTGGGGTAAACCCGCGCACAGGGTAAACCCGCTCACCAGCGATTTAACGCGATGAACTCAACTTAAGATGGAGATATTGATACTGTGAATAGTACTTACCATTCAACTTATATTAACGAACTTTCGTTTAGTTTCATGAATTCAACATAGAATCAGAGGCAATCAAATGTTTTTAGAGGTATCAGAAAAAAAAACGTTTTTTGGATTTTTAAGTTTTTCGATCATTATTTTTGAGTCTTAATTTATTTGGCAAATTTTTTCTTGTTGCTATTGGATGTCCTTTTTCGAAGTACATGTATAGTTTTATCTTATTTCAAAAAGATTTAATTAAATTTATTCTGAAATGTGAGGAATACACTCGGGGTAAAGTCGCTCACGTGAAGTCGGGGTAAACCCGCTCACTTAGTTCTTAATTTAAAATTTAGAATAAAATAATTTCACGTATTATATTTCAACAATAACACAATTTATGACTTATTAAAACCAAAATTGTAACTACATTTCACTTTCTCTTAATAAAATATAACACTATTTAAATCCATAGTTGTAATTCATAAAATCTATGTTCATTATTTATTAAACCAATTTTTTGTTTATAGAATTGTTTATATAACTCATAAATTATCAATAATAAATCATACTTAAGACGGGAATAAGACGAACTTTAATATTTAAAAAATAAAACTGTTCCGTCTTGAAAAGATAAAGTGAGCGGGTTTACCCTGGAAAATTGTGATTTCGAAATTTGGTATATGTGTATTAAAAAGTTTCTCTAAGTAAAACTAAAAAAGATAAATCAAAAACTCTTTTTTATTTTTTTAGTAGAAATCATAAGCTTTCAAATGATATAAATTAACTTGGATTTAGAGAATAATTTCCTAGATTTTTACCGATCTGAAAAAAAGTGAGCGGGTTTACCCCAGTCTCCCCTACAGTACATACAATTTATTTTTATTTTATTGTACCACTATTCAACAATAAAAATGTAAAATATTACATTATGGGTCATTTCGCAGGAGAGTTAAGGTTCATGTCTCAGATTTTTTTTATATTTTGCTTATTAATAGTATTTTGGGTCCTAAACAACTATACCAAATTTTAATTAAATATTTTTATTATTTTTCAAGATATTTGCATTGCAAATTTCTTGACATGTTTTTTTCATTTTATTATAACTCACTTATTTTTAAAAATTTATTAAATTTGTTAAGAACCTTTTTTACGTAAAAACCATTGAAGTTTAGTAAAAAAAATTGAAAATTAAAAAATATCAATTTTTTTAATTATTTATTTATAAAATTATATTTATTTTTAATGTTTAGGGGAGGGTAGGCTACATTGAACCGGGTATTTTATAAAGTCCAAGAACTAATAAAATTTTACTAATTTCGATCAGGTTTTTGTATCAAAATTAAGCTGAAGTACTCCTTTAGTTAATACACACGTTACAAACACAAATTATTATGATTAAATAATTTAATTTAATTTTTTTCTAACAAGTCACACTTTTCTTATTTTGAAGGATGTGTGTCTACATTGAACCACCTCTAATAAAACACTACAATTTACTTCAAAAATAATATTTCCACTTACACATTGTAAAAAATCTTATTTTCCACTCAAAAAAATAGAAAATTGTTATTTAATTGTTATTACTTGTTAATATAGGAGATTAATGTATTTTAATGTCAGGTTAGGTAGGTAAAGTGACAGTTTGAGTTTATCTCGTTCACAATTGTGATGAAAGCATGTCTTCCAGTATTTTTCTTACTAATTAGTAGAGCAGACAATTTTACAACTCTTAAAATTGAAAATTCTTTGCTTTTTCGGGTGGTTCAATGATGCCGCACTCACTGTATTCACATGACATTCACAACAAAAATTGTTTATAATAAATTTGTGTAAGATTTAAAGTTCTTTATCACATCGGAATATTGAAGTTGACACCCTAAGCGAAATAAATCGCAAGTTTACTAATTTTTCAAACTTCCTATTTCAATAAAAAAACGTCATTATAATTCCACCAAAT